CATACACTTTCAAAGAAACCTTTGGGCCATATGCTTGGAAAGTGATTAATTCACAGTATCTCAGCTGCCTTGCATCCAACTCCCCACAAACTTGTGTTCCTAATGTCTCAGATTAACCAGTTGTCTCTCTACTTCTAAACAATTCATAAATTTTTGTGATAGATCTTAGCAACAGAGAAGAAAACCAGCAATTGCCTGGGGGAAGGCAGTGTTCCTCGTCCTGGGAGCCACTTACAAATTACCACACAGAGACTTATATTGTAAATGATTGGCCAGTAGCTCAGGCTTATTACTAACTGGATCTTACATTTTAAGTTAACCCATCTTCCTTATTTATGTTTTGCCACGTGGTGGTACTTTTATTAGCATGGCATGTTCTTCTTCTGTTCTTCTGCATCAGGCCTAGGACTCCTGACTCCACCCTCCTTCATTCTATCATTCTCTTTGGCTTTCCCACCTAACTTTATCCTGTACAGCTATTGGCCACTCAGCTTATTAAACCAGTTACAGTGACATATATTCACACAGTATAAAGGAATATTCCTCAGAGCCTGGGAATATAGCTTAGGGGGAGAACACTTACCTAATAAGGGTAAGGCCCTATGTTTGAACTTAAAACAACAAATAAGCAAAAAAGTCAGCTGTTAACCTCATGGGAAATCAGGTGGTACTACACACCTTTAATCCCAGCACTCAGGAGACTGGCAAATCTCTGAGTTCAAGTTCAGCCTCGTCTACACAGTTCCACACCAACCAGGGCTGTCTCAACTATGAAACCCTGTCTTAAAAGAAAAGGCAGACAGGGTTTAATTTGGTGACTCGTGCCTCTAATCCTAGCACTTAGGAGGTAGAGGCAGGAAAAGCACATGTTCAAAGTCATCCACAGCTACTTCAAGACCAGTTTGAGTTATATGAAATAGTATCTCAAAATAACAAATAAATGGTCCATGGTAAAATTTGTCAGCTAGAGACTGGTTTTGGTTTTTTGTTTGTTTGCTTTCATGTTGTTGTTAGCCTTAGTTCCTTGTACTTCCTTCCCTAGGCAGTCTCTTCTCCCAGACTTCAGCCCACCCCTGAATTTTGTTTTTTTGTTTTTTCTCTTCTGATTTTAGGAATTGAACTCAGGGCCTCCCATATACTAGTCAGGTGTTCTAGCATTAAGCCACATCCACACCCATGAATCATGTTCGTAATAAAATTCAGAGCAATAATAATGTGCTCTGGCACTCATGTAAAGGTTCCAGGAACTTGGCAGGCTCAGGCAGGAGGATCATGACCTCATGACCAGCCTGGGCTATAAAAACTGCCAAATGAATGAAGTTATAGGGGTATCGTGAGAAAGAACAAAACCCAACAAAGGCAATTTCATTACAAAGGGGAATATAATTTAATCATAGTGTTGATCCAAAAATTAAACTGACTCTCACTCACTGGAGTTGTGTTTTCTTGAGTCTTTTAGTTAGTTAAAGCTGCAGTGTAGAGTTTCCACATTCTGTTTATATCCACAAGCCAGGCTTGCCTCTGGATTTATACCATAAGGTCTGGAGGTATGAGACAAGGAAGTTGAGGTTCAAATAGTTATTGTAGCAACCAGGATTTACAGATGAGGGTTTTGATCCCAGGTCCGTTCAACTCCAGTGCTAGAATTCTTTATTGCTCCAGCAGAAGTTAAAGAGAAGGGAGAACTTGGAGACTGTCCTCTCCAAAGATCTCTAAAATGACGGCTAAAGGCAGTAGTAGCCATATCCCAGGCCATGCTGGCCTCAGCTGCAGTTCTGAGTCCCTCACCCCTGCTGCCATCCCACTGCCCACCTCAGACTGCTCAGCACAGAACGCAGCTCCCAGTACTGGGGCAGGCAGGGGTCACATCCTGCCTTCTCCTAATACAGTCACCAAGACTATATAACCCAGCTCGATTCCACACGCTCTGCCTAGGCAGCCTTGGCCTATTTTTATTACCCGTGACCAAGCTCCTGCCCTACTCAAGTGGCCCACAGACAGAAAGTCCCAGTCTTCTATCTCAGAAGAACAAGGGTACATCATCAGTTTCATTAACCCTCACCATCTAACCCCAGAAGACAAGGGTACCAGGATATTTCTCAGTGCAAAGCAATGAACTTTATGTCTGTTTGAGCCATGGAGTTCATAAAAACACTCTGACCACAGTAAAAGTGTATTCAGAGTTGGCTAGCAAACATATACCACTTTGTCTGACGTGGGAGACGACGACGAAGAGTCAAGGCCGCACCCTCAAGTCAGACTCACACCAGTTGCATGACATAGGTCATCCTTTGTTGTGTTAGACAGCAAGCCCCTTTTCCCAGTGCTTGTCGGTAACCCCAACTGTTTGGAGGGGTGAGACAGGAGCATCAAAAATTGGAGGCCAGCCTAGGCAACATAGTAAGACTCTTTATCTCAAAATAATGGCTGGATGTGTAGCTCAGTGATGTAGATCACATGCAGAGATCAGTCCAGACATTTAACACTCAAAGTGGAAGCTGTGTTGAACTCGTAGGATATCAAGCATCAGCTTAACCCCTTAATCCTGTGAGAGTATCAGACTTGGTTAGTCTATAAGTCCAGCACTTGGGAGACAGAAACAGGAAGATCGTTCATTACACATTTAAGGCCAACTTGAGTTACAGAGTGAGATTCTATCTTTGAATAAATAATCCTCTGAGAAATGTATTATAATGTTCAGATACAGAAAGGGTTGCAAGGAGCAGCTAAGTAACTTCCCCAAGATCACACCTCTCAGAAGTGGCAGAGGTGGAACTTGAACTTAGGACACATGTGTCGTCTGTCATGCTGATGCAGGCATCGGGCTCCTGAGAGGCTAGGATGCTTCAGCTCCGCAAACTGCTCTCTGCCTCTGTCTGCACATGCACTGTGGCTTCACCTTCCCCAAAAGAGATTCCGCAAACTGAGCTTCCAGCCTCCGGCATCCTGGCTGCTTCTGCCTTGCATCTCTTCAGAGCGCTCCCATGAATGCCTACTCCAGATTCCAGCCCTGTGCCTGCCACTTCTTACCTATGGTGCCATTCATCATCAATCATATCACAACCCAAGGCTGCAAGGGAGCAGCTGTTTGACAAGTGGGGAACTGAGGACCAGAGATAGTTCTTAAATTCATATTCTCCAAGCCACCAGAGTATATTTTTAAAAAAAAGAAAAACTCATCCATTGTGACCTGTATGTTTTCAGGCCTACCTTGCTTTACTTCTTAGTTGGGAAACATCTGGGATGTCTTTTGTGACCTTTGTTCACAGTTCTTAAACATCCCTGCTTCAGGCCAGCACTGAGCTCAGCATCTTCCCTGCCTTATCTGATCCTCACATGCCTCTTTGAGATAGGCCATATGCTCATCCTCACACACAGGTAAGGTGGCCCAAGCCTGGGGAGGCTATCACTAAGATAACCCCACAGGGCTGTGAGAACTAGTAACCACTCTACAACACTAAGGCCTTGGTTTGCTGAACTCATGCTAGTGTAGTCTGGGAAAGAACATAAATTCCCTGCCTGGCCAGGAGGTGGAGCATCTGGGTAACAATGCTTTTAAAGCTAGGCTGGTCCTAAGCAACAGACCTCATAGTAGGCATGAAAATGAGGATGTTCCTACCCTGGGGGCTATGGTTCATTAGGCAGCTGGATTTTACATTTGTAAAAGCCCAGTTCTTTGTCAATCAGTACATGGAAGTCTAGAAGTACATTTCTTGACAAGAAACTGATATAGAAGGCACATGGGCCAGACTTGGGATTTCTAACTCTTCCCCAAATTTTACATACCAAGTGTGCCTATGTCCACTTTGTCATTAAGCAAAGCAAATCACTAAGAGTTTAGAAACCTCAGTTTGAATCGCAGCTGAGATTGTGGCTCCCTGTGTGACCCTGGTCAGGCCATCCTCTAAGAGACTCCACATCTACAGAGTGGGAACAATAATGTGTACCTGCCAGGGCTCTTAGAAAAGGTGACTGGGGAGAACAGCCATAAATGGATATTAGCGGGGACTGTTAAGGGTTGTGATTGCCCATGGGGGCTCTGTTTGCCGACCTGCTTTGTCTTTCTTTCCAGCCCCTTCATGAATAAGTTTTTTCCAGCCAACTTCCCAAATCGCCAGTATCAGCTGCTCTTCACACAGGGCTCTGGGGAAAACAAGGAAGGTCAGTGGTACTCACTTCCCTCTGTCCCCTTTTTGTTTCTGTAATACTGGGTTCTCCAAGAAACAATAAAAAAGGAGAAGCTCAAATCTTAACGGCCCTGGTTCATATCCCCGCTTTGCCACTACCCAAACTGGGGAATCTGGGTGAACCCATTATTTCTGAGCACTGGGTGTTTTTACTGGAAGTTTGTTTCCTCCATCTGTAAAACAAAAGTGATCATCTAACCCGTCTTCCGTTAGGAAGTAAACAATAAGTAGAAAGCTTTCAGCACAGTGCCTGGCTCATAAATGCACTCGGTAGGAGCTGTACCAGACAGCTCCTGACATGTCTGTCCCTAGTGATGGCTTCACCTAAGCTTTGAAAAATAAAACTGAAGATGCGTTAGTTACCGTATGGATTCAAAAATGGTGCCAAGAGTAATGATGGCTTGACCAAATGCAAGATAATTCTCACACATGAGAAGCCTGTGGAATGTATTCTATTCTCTCCTGGTTGCCAAGCGGATTCTACCTTTTCCCTCCGAACGGTGATGAGATGGTTCGTCTCTGCGTCAAATACGTCTGTGCCAAATAAATGATTATTGGATTTTTTTTTAAAGGCTAAGCCTGTTTTTCTTAACGACCACGGAGCCTTCCGGGTTCCGAACCCCCCTCCGCCCCCCCATCTACGCCGGCTCCATTACTCGAACCCCTCTGGGGGGAGTCTAGAATGGCGATCACTGCGCAACCGTAAGAAAGATAGAAGCATCCTTATTGGCTGGTTAGTGTGCCCGTAAGAGGTGGCGCGGTTCGACGCACGGCCAGTCCGATCCCGAAGTGGCGGTCCATCCGTAGACGTGGATGCTCTGACGTATCTTCCGGTCCGGGCCCCGCCCTTTCTGCAATCGGATGTCCGTAGAAGGACCGGAAGTCGGGAGAAGAGGTGTGGGGTGACCACGTGGGGGTCAGTGGAACGGAAGTAATACGATCTTACGCAGCCGTAAAGCGCGGTCGGTCGAACCATTTTCCGGTTAGCGACAACGGCCGGCTCGGACGCCGGTGCTATCCTTCCTGTAGACCGCAACTCGGTGAGACCTTCGGCAAATAACGCTTCACCTCAGCTTTTCCCTTTCGGCGCCCCTTCACCAAGATCATGTTCAAGAAATTTGACGAGAAGGAGAGTGTGTCCAACTGCATCCAGCTGAAAACTTCCGTTATTAAGGGTATTAAAAGCCAACTGACTGAGCAGTTTCCAGGTATTGAACCATGGCTTAATCAAATCATGCCTAAGAAAGACCCCGTCAAAATAGTGCGATGCCATGAACACATGGAAATCCTTACAGTCAATGGAGAATTACTGTTTTTCAGGCAGAGAAAAGGACCTTTTTATCCAACGCTGAGATTACTTCACAAATACCCGTTTATCTTGCCACACCAGCAGGTCGACAAAGGAGCCATCAAATTTGTGCTCAGTGGTGCAAATATCATGTGTCCGGGTTTAACGTCTCCCGGAGCGAAGCTCTATGCTGCTGCAGTAGATACCATCGTGGCGGTCATGGCAGAAGGCAAAGAGCACGCCCTGTGTGTCGGAGTCATGAAGATGGCTGCAGCAGACATTGAGAAAATCAACAAGGGGATCGGCATTGAGAATATCCATTATCTAAATGACGGGCTGTGGCACATGAAGACGTATAAGTGAGCCTTAGACGCAATGCACTTGAGCTAAATATAAATATTGTGTTGTATCTGTGTTTGTGTCTGTATATGACATCACGAAGACAATGCCTCTGTGGTTATGCTGAATAAATTCAACAGATACCTTTAAAAAATGAAAACGGGGTGTTGTAACCACAGGAGAGAGCAGGAATTGGGGGACAAGTAACAGTTTGCTGCACTTTGGGATCACAGAAGTGGTCGTACTATGTTATTAGGAGATTTGGTAGCATCCAGAGAGGTCTGGCATCGGGGTCTCTACTTAGGTGCTCCCAACAAGAGCTGCCTTCGAGATTCCCTCTTGACTACTTCCTCTCTCTCTCTCTCTCTCCTTCTCTGCTTGGGAAGGGTTACCAGCCATCCTCTTGGTTTCCTGAAATTCTGGACTTGGCAGGAGTAGCATTCCTTGGGAACCCACTGTGTTCCATTCCAGGCACTGTGCTGAGGGCATTGAAGAATAACCTTCCTCACTCCTCACAATGGCCCCCTGAGGAAGGTGCTGTTGACTTTTTTACAGATAAGGAAACAAACTCTATAAAGAGGACACTTCCTCCCCCAGGGTCACCCAGCTTCAGGTGGCAGAGCTTATATATCCTAACACCCTCATTTGATCTGGGCCTACATTCCCCCTATAGAAAACTAAGGGGTTGGGGGTGGGCCCAGTGAGCTTTCCCCAGCCTAAAACCCCTGCCAGGCTGAGGCAGCCACGGCCAAGCACATGGGCCTGTCTGGCCACGCGGGCAGCCATGTCCTCCACCTTCCAGGGGCTGACGGGTTGGGGCTGGGGGGGAGGGGGGGATAGCCTCACTCTGAGGAGTGGACTTACCTGGCCTCTCTGCCCAGAGATCATCAACTATGAGTTTGACACCAAGGACCTGGTGTGCCTGGGCCTAAGCAGCATTGTTGGTGTCTGGTACCTGCTGAGGAAGGTAAGCAGTCAGGGCCTGAGCAGAAGGGGAGGTTGGGGAGATGGTAGGATGGGGCACAGTGAGCTGGTCTCACTCCCACCTTTCCCCAGCACTGGATTGCCAACAACCTCTTTGGCCTGGCCTTCTCCCTTAATGGGGTAGAGCTCCTGCACCTGAACAACGTGAGCACTGGCTGCATCCTGCTTGGTGGACTCTTCATCTATGACATCTTCTGGGTGAGTCAGGCAGGGACGTGATGTCCAGCTCTGAAGTCCCTCCTCTGCCTCCCGGCTTCCCTGCGTCTCTACCATCTCTGTCCGCATGGCAGTCTGATGGAGTTTGTACCCCAGAGCAGGTCTGTTTCTGGTCCATCTGTAAATCTGGAGCAAAGGGATTGTGTCTCCTACCCAGTGCCTCCATACACTCTCGATGGTCTTTACAGGGGACCACTGAGTCTTGTGTCTCTAGGGCAAATGAGTCGAGACTCGGGGCCGTTTGGATAGGGGTGGTGGATGCTGGTGGATGCCTGGCAAGGAGGACAGAGGTCAGCTGTGCTCGGGATGTCTGTTCACTTTCCGAGGCACTGCTGAGGGGTCTGGGATCTACCTGACCGTAGCGTCCTTTCCCTGGAAGACCTTTTGTCTTTGAATGCTGCCTAGGGTCTTTGTCTCTTAAGAGGGAGAGGAGCCTGAACAAGCAGGCTGCCTGGCTTGGGCCAGCCAGTTAGGGCCTTTCTCTGACTCCTTTAGATTTTCTCTTGCCCAGAACTACATGAATGGTTACCTCAACTTGGTGTCAGTCTGCTCTGAGCTCTCCCAGTTCCCTACTCGACTCTCACACCTCAACACCACATCTAGAAGCCTAAGGACAGCCTTTCTTGCCCACCCACCTCCCTTTAGACTCCTGTCTTTTCCTTCTAGGTATTCGGCACCAACGTGATGGTGACTGTGGCCAAGTCCTTTGAGGCACCAATCAAATGTAAGTGACCGCCTGCCACCACCAGGCATCGTCCTCTCTACCCCCGTTGGCTCATCATCCCCGTTAATGTCAGAACCACTCTTTATTTCCTCACCATTGATTCATCTCACTGTGTTCTTGATCTGTCTCTCCATCCCCTTGGGTCACTTGGTCGTGATACCATGTGGCATGAAATATCTAGGAATGGGAATAAGCGTAGAGGAAAGGTGCTTGGCAACCTATCAAGGCTTGCTGTGGTTTTCCAGAAGTCGAGACCTTCACACTATCACACTCACTGGGTCCCCCTTGTTACCTGAGTACCTGGTGCTCTCTGGTCTACCAACTCTGACCATACCTTGGTTTTGTATTTTTAGAATAACCATTGTTTACACAAGTATTAGAAAACCCACCTGTAGGGGCTAAGGGTGTAATAGCTCAGTCTAGCATGTGTGAGCCCTGGGGTTCCATCCCTTGCACCTCTGAAAGAAAGAAGGAAAAATAAGATCCATAACACAGGCATTGGGCACATTCCTGTTATCCCAGTACTCCAGAAGCTGAGGCAGGAGGATTGCAAATTTAAGACTATCCTAGTCTACATAACAACTGTCAAAAAAAAAAAAAAAAAAACCAGCATGATGGCTCAGCTGACACAGTTCCACAGTTCTTGCTGCCTGACCTGACAACCCGAGTTCGATCCGTAGGACCACATGCTGGAAGGCGAGAACCAGTTCCCACAGTTGTCCTCTGACTTCTACATGGACATGGTTGTACATGTACTCACACACATACAAAAGTAAAGAAATGTAAAGGTTTTGGGGGGGGGGGGACCCAAGCAAATCGGTAGTACGCACCTTTAATCCTAACTCTCAGCAGGCAGAGGCAGGTGGATCTCTTGAGTTTGAAGCCAGCCTGGTCTACAGAGAGAGTTCCAAGACAGCCAGAGCTGCACAGAGAAAACCCTGTCTCAAAAAACAAAAACAAACCTTGGGTACCAATGTCTTTAAACAAGGAGAGTTTCTGGATGTTTATGGAAATAAATGTCAGGTAGCTGAAACCATCCTGGAACTCACTGTGTGGCTAACGGTGGCTTTGAACCTGTGCACCTTCTGCTTCCATCACCAAAGTGCAGGGATCACTGGGTCTGACTAAGCAAGGGGAAATTTTATCAGACTTCTGTAAACCTGGGTAGAGCAGCTCATCAATGGGTTAATGCCCTTAAGTGGAATCACCAGCACCAAGGTTATTTCCATCCTCCCACTCCACCATTCTCAGCATGCATGTTACTGATCCCTTAGCTCACCTTTCCATGGTCTGTGGAGGGGACCACACTTCTAGCATTAACTCCTCACCCAGATGCGGCACAGAGGGAACCACTTTTTGTCTTCCCTTGGGAAGAGTGTTTTTGGTGTGTCCCCCACCCCAAGAAAAAAACAACAGCAAAAACCTGGGGAAGCTCCTTTCGTGTTTCATTGCCCAAGTCATATTACAGAGCTACAGGCATAGCCAGTACTGTACTGTGTTTTCCTACGGTGCATGAGGGCTTGGGTTCTTTAGCTGAGCTTGGTACCACTCAGTGTTAATCCTGGTACTTGAGTGAAAATTCAAGACCCGCCAAGGCTACACAGCTAGACCATCTCAGAAACAGTCCAAGCAAACAACTTCCCTGCCTCAGCAAGTCAGATGAGAAAGCAGATTAACTTAGACTCTCAGCCCTGGCTGAGTTCCAAATCACCTAGGACCACAAGGCTAAGGCTCCAGGATTGGACCAGAGATGATAACTGGGAAGAGGGAGAAATGACCTTGAGAGGATGCGCAGGCCTCTGTAGGATTGTGGCAGCAAGCAGTTGGGGTGAAGTCAGCTTAGGGCTTCTTCCTCATGGGTCCCTTAGCAGCATAGAAGGAGAAATGAAGATGAAGGAAACCTTTGGTTAGAAGATCCCAGATCCTTCCTCACTGTAAGAGCTGCCATCTCCTGTGTGAGTCCTACTCAGAGGGCTGGAGGTCGGCAGCCTGAGTAAACGGCTCCCTGACCTCCATCTCATCCCTGCCTCTCCCCGCAGTGGTGTTCCCCCAGGATCTGCTGGAGAAGGGCCTTGAAGCGGACAACTTTGCCATGCTGGGACTTGGAGATATCGTCATTCCAGGTGATTGCTGGGGAGAGGACTGTGGGGAGGAGTGCCGTGGATTTTACCATGAGGTGGATGGGTGGGTAGCCTTACTATTGGGAGTGGGGGCGATCGGGTGAGCGCTTGGCACATGTGGTTTTGATGGGCATAGGGCAGCTCTTTTCCCCTCCATTTTGGACTTAAAGAGGAGCCCAAAAGCCCTGAGCTTCAGGTAAACATGTTCAGAATGACCTGAACATGTCTTCTTGCCATCCTGGACTGCTTGGCCTAAGGGGGTGCCCTGCTGGTGGGAGAAAAAGCCTGCCTGGCCTTTCTCTCAGTTCCTGAGGGTAAAGAAGCTGCAAGTTTTGTATCTTTGTCTGTCTGCCTATCAGGGATCTGTCTAGCTCCCAGTTTTTTTAAGGACTGATATAGAGACCCACATCATCCTTAGCAGTGGGCTCCCTGACTGTGGAAAGGGTGTCCTGCAGAGAGGACAGGAATGTGGCTCAGTAGCAGGATAAAGCTTAGCTTAAAAGCTCACCCTGTCAGAACTGGTCAAGGACAGTAATGACAGGGAAATGATGGCGACAGCTCCTACTACTCACCGGGCACTGTGGTGGGAGCTTCCTTGGATCATTCTGCTACTCCCAACAGCTCCGGGGAATAGGGGGAATTTCTGTATTCAGGTTAAAGGAACAGGCCAACTTGTCTGAGAGATTGGGCTTAGCATACCCCACCCCTACCCACCCCCGAGTATCCCCATGGCACGCAGCACTACCATCAGCAGGCTTACTTCCCAGATAACAACACAGGAGAGAGCCAAGTCCTGTGGTAGAGGTGCTAGCACGCACCTCTGACCCCAGACACAGACAGGGGGTCCTGAGTTCAAGAATAGTCTGCTTAGTTGGTCAACATGTCTTAAAGGGGAAAAAAAATAATTCCAGCCCTCTGGCAATGGACAGACACCTCATTGGTGGTGATCAGGGACACTAGATTGTGGTCCTGTGTTCATCCTAGCTTGATGCCTGGCTTGGTGGCCAGCGCTATTTTTAAAGAAAATAATGGAATTCCACAAAATTTTGCCTTACAGCGGTGGCTCTCAGCCTTCCTAATGCTGTGACCCTT